ATTATGACATGTTTAAGTCATTTTCAGAAAGAGGTGATATAAATTATTTTATTGGTGCATGGTGTGTTTTTCTCTTTTTATAGATGGGTAGGATATTTTTTAGATAATTTCCATGGATATTTATAACAACTTTGACTGGATTAACATTAGGAATAGTATATCCAACTGAAAAATGTTTAAGATCAGCATATGGAGAAGTCACAATATATTTTAATTTTATAGAATATGATGGCCCAAAATTTCATCCAGATTTTTAAGTTGTTAGTCATATAATAACATAAGCTATTCCTATTACACTATTTATTTTGATATAAAATTAATTCTGTGCAAGGGCAGGTTAATCATTAAGTGGAGTTAAATGTGATTATGATTAGGAAATATAATGTGTATCCACAGCTAATATTTTAAGTGGTATTTTTGGTGGGTTACCTTGTTGTGCATCGTCAAGGATGTATATTTTAGATATTAAATTACGTAAAACAAATCAATGGTCATCCATTCTTAATGCATTTTCAATACTTTTCTTTTATGGAATTTTTAGTAAAGTCTTTATGGATATACCTTTTTATATTATAAGTGGTTAATTATTGTATATGATCATCAATATACCTCCTTGGCATTATTATGTTAATTTATATAGAACTTAGAGAAAATTAATTTTATTCTATATTTTTTGTATTGCATGGCTATGTGTTAATTATGGAGCTATTTAAAGTACTCTTATTGGAAGTATGCATGCTCTGATCATATTCGCTTAAAAAATGAGTTTACCATCTGCTGAAGTAATGACAAATCAAAAAGAAGGAGTTTATTAGATCAATTTAAGAGATACTAATCTTCATGAATTTGAAGAGGAATGCAATGATATACCTCCAAATCTAGAAGGAACTTATACTGTTTATAGATTTAATGGAGCATTGAATTATATAAATATTAAAGGACATATTGATTAGATTAAAGAATTAGCTAAGACAGATATTTTTATTCTTAGTTTCAGATATGTTTGTGTTATTGATTTTTAAGCAATTGATAGTTTGGCAATAATTATAGATAATATGAGAAGTATTTTATTATTTAAATATAGAAAATAGTACTTAAGTTTATGTTACTGGATTACATCCTGGAATGTTGGAATAATTGAGTGAGAATAATATTTTTAAGGAATATTTTATAAATGAAAACCACATGTTTCATCAAATAGATAAATTACCTCAATAGTGATTGTTAATATAATTATAAAAGATAAAAATAATTTAAATTAAGATTAATTTATTATCATAAAATTAATATATATTCTCACATTCTTTAATGACTTTATTATATGCTTCTTACAGTGATATAATCTGAATTTTCAGTTTTTCTATTTCTTTATCTTGTAGTAGATTTTCTTCTTAATCTACTTGCTAAAGTATCATCCATTTTATCTTAGGTGATAACATCTTCTCTGAAAAGCTCAAAACTTTGACAAAACTTCTCAGGAATTATTATTTTAACAAGAACCAAAAAAATTATACTACCTACTCCAAATGCAATACAAAGTAAATGTTGTTAAACTGTTAAATGAGAAACTTTAACAAATTTACCACCAAATTATATTAAAATACATTAGATTATTAAAGTAAATGTTTAAACACCCCAAAATAAAGGATTATTACATGCATTAGTAAATGGGTTTATAGTTTTGTAATCTAATTATCGGCATGATATTGAATTAAAGACTTGCATAACAACAAAAGATTAGAAAAATATACTCATTTAGACTACATTCTTATGGAACTTAAATAGATAATATAATATAATACTTTTTATCCAACTAACTCTTCAGGCATAGATAAATCCATATATTTTGGTAAAACAAATAAAATGCCACAAAGAACAGCTATCTAATATATTGATCCTCCTACTATAGTTCTATTCATGGTTGGAGATACAATTTTATCTTCTCTTTTGTATGGTTATCTTTCAAGAACTGTAATATTGGGGGGTTCAGTTGCTAAAGCTAAAGAAGCAAAAGTATCCATAATTAAATTAACCCAAAGCATTTCAATAGTATTTAATGGAGATTCTTTTAGAACTACTGCTCCTAAAAAGGACATGAATAATGCTACTAAATTAACAGTTAATTGAAATTAAATGAATTTTCTTATACAGTCATATATATTTCTACCCCATTTCATAGCTAAAATATATATTTTAAGTACCTGTTATTATGGAACTGAAATTATCATCTAATAAAATAATATCTGCAGCATCTTTAGCAACATCAGAACCAGTGATACCCATAGCAAATCCTACATCTGCTTTTTTTAAAGCTGGAGCATCATTTGTACCATCACCAGTAACTGCAATAACATTACCTTCTGCAATTAATCCAGTAACCAAAATATATTTATCTTCAGGTGATGCTCTTGCCATTACTTTCATATCTCTAGCAATAATTTTGAAATTTTATTTATTTCCTACTTCTTTGATTTCATTTCCATCTTTATCTTTAATAGTCTTTAATCCTCCTACAAATTCTCTAAAAGTCTTTCCCTCCACAACTTCATATTAGCCTAATTGTTTGCCACTTTAAAGAATTCCACATTCTTTTGCAATTGCTGTTGCTGTCATTATGTTATCACCTGTAACCATTCTAACAGTAACTCCAGATGCATGACATTACTTAATTGAATTAGGCACATCTGGTCTTATTGGATCTTTAATTCCAGCAATTGCAACAAGTACTAAATCTTTATCTAAATCATCTTCTTATATAGATTAAGTGAATGTAGTAAGTTATGGAATTTATCCTAAAGCACTTGAATTTTAAGAATGAGGATCAAGATCTCGATAAGCAATAGCTATTGTTCTTAAAGATTCTGAAGCAAAGGCTTAGATAATATCATTATAAATTTAATCTTTTGCTTTCTAATCTAAGATTTATTCAACACCATTAGGACCCACCATTTTGATACATTAATTAAGGACAATTTCAGAAGCTCCCTTTGTATAAACTCTAATAAATCGAGTTTTTGGATTATATACAGCAGTACTCATCTTCTTTCTTTTACTATTGAATGGGATTTGTCTAAGGATTTTATCACTAGGTCTGTATTCTGAAAAATTATAATTAAAATTATCAGCACACTCTAACAAAGCACATTCAGTCTTATTACCAATTTAGATCCATTTATTTGTTACTTTATCTTTTTATGGGAATGCATTTGAATTATAACATATACTTTCACACATTAATTCAATAGTATTCTTATTTAATTTAGATTTAATTGTATGAACATCATTCTTTATAGTATTCTTTTCAACATACAAAGCAGTTACTTGCATGATATTTTATGTTAATGTGCCTGTCTTATCACTACATATATTATTAGCTCCACCCATAATTTCACATGATGATAGATTCTTAACCAAATTTTATTCATCTTTCATTTTTCCAACTGAATATGCTAATGCTATAGTAACAGCTAAAGGCAATCCTTCAGGTACAGCTACAACTATAATTGTTACAGAAATCATGAATGATTCAACTAATACTTATAAGGTCCTTAGACTTTTAAATTGTATTTCACCTAGATAAATATCATAACCAAGATGTCCCATTAAAGCAATGAATGTAAAGATTGATACAATAACTCCCAATTTACCTATATCTGAAGCCACTCCTTCTAATTTTTATTATAATGGAGTTGGTGGGTTATCTTGAATTAATAACTTCTTCAATTAACCAGAGATTGTATTTTAACCAACTGCAAGAACTAACATTTAACCTGTTCCATCTAAACATTTAGTTCCTGATATTAAAAATGGACTAGTATGACCTCTTGATGCATCTTGATTCAATAATTATTGTTTTTGTTGCAACATTTCTTAATATGGTAATTTCTTTATTTCATCACTTTCTCCTGTCATTGCTGACTCATCCATTTTAACTGCACTTCCTTATATCATCAAACCTATAATATTAAATATATTATATTACCATCTACAACAAATAGATCTCCTAAATTAAATAAAAGAATGTCCCCAACAACAATCTCTTTGGTTGCTATTTCTGTTACTTTATTTCCTCTAATTACTTAGCATTTCCCATCATCTAATCTTCTTCTTAATTATCTGAATTATTTCTCTTTCAAATAATTATTTCCAGCAGTTATTGATATAATCAAAAATATTGCAAAAAATATAGTTGCTCTAATATATATTTAAAATAATTTATGTACCCTTCTGTCCACCCTGTTGCCAAACCTTCATTTATTATTCCAATTACTGTTGACACCAATGCTGCCAATAATAAAATTCTTAACATTGTGTCTTCTAAACATTCCATTATCAATTCACACAGAGTTATAGGCTCTTTCTCTACAGGAGTATTGTCACCAAAACATTCTCTATTCTTTTACACATCAGCTTCTGTACTTATTCCTTACTTAAAAATAATTAGCATATTCATACTTTTATGTCTGAGTTTATCTTACGAGCCAAACCATAGTCATCCCCAAAAGATTTCACTTTGCTCATACTTTGTCCATCATTAATTTTGTTTAAGATAAATAAATCAGTAAGATCTTCGACACTCAAAAGAGAAAGCCTTTGACTCTCTATATCCTACTGCTGTTAATATTTCATGAATAAAATTTATTATGTTAGTAATATAATTTTATATTAATTCTTTTTTTTCAAATGTATACATAATAATTAATTTAGAAAATATCTTATCATACTTCTTAATTAATTATAATATTTATGATATTTCAAGATCATTTAAATTAAATTTAACTAAACAAATTATTAATTTGATAATCACTTATTCAAAAAAGATATAGTTTAATAAATTCATCAAAATAATTTGTTATTATCAAGTATCTTACAAATTAAAAAATCAAAAATTAAGATATTTTCGGTTCAAAGATAATTTATCAAATTATTATTGATATAAACAGAAATAATGAAAAATAAATTGGATTAAAATATAATTCTGTCAAATATACATTATCAAATCACTCTAATAAGACAAATAAGAGTGCAAATGCTCCAAGAATGTATGAGTTACTAGCAAACCTATCATTCAAGTCATCACATTTAACACATTTATTGTCAGCCCATTTGTAATTACCATATGTTCTTGTATAGCATTCATTTTAGGTCAGAGTTGAGGCATCAGCAACAGCACAAGCACCATTAGTCCATTAACATAAAGTATATTCAAAATCACCTGTATGAAGATTATCACATGCAATTGAATTGGTAATATCTGAGCATTTTCTTTCACGGCAAGTATTTGATTCATATACGCATGTTAAATTACAAATATTTGAGAAATTGTTTAGATCTGAACAGCTATAGTCAGCTTTCAAAGATTTGCATGTGTTATCATCACCCCAAGCACAACGTGAAGTTTATGAATCCTATCCAGATTTAATCAGAAATTTTCTTTCAATTTATGTTTTCAGAATATTCTTGAATTACTTGAAGAAATTTTATAGTTGCTGATTTCATTTATCTTTTAGAAATTATAATTCCAATAACTGATTATTTATTTAAATTGTAAGGATAATTTTTAATTATGTCATTATTAACTTGTCAATTTAAGGTCGGCTTGCTCTTATCTAAAAGATAGTTTAATATTAAACAGGTTGCAAAATATTTTGTATAAAGTATTCCCCAAGATTACCATATTTAATTATAAAATTTTATTTATTTAGTTTATATATAAATAATTATTAAATTCAAAATTTTTATAGAATAAGCAATTTCTGAAGTATTTTGATGAAATTTCTGACTAATATACTTAGCTGTAGCTTTCTGTTAGGCATAATTGAGATTATATCAAAAGAAAATGCAAATATAATCTATATAAAATTTCATTTTTTTTATATATATTATATATGTTGAATACCTAATCAATTTTTACTTTATATACTTAATTTTTTCTATCTTTTTGTTCATTTTTCACTTGATTCATCAACACAACTATCATTTACATTCTTTATTTTACCAACTTTCCTATAATAAATTATTGCTTGAATATCTTTCGTCATTTTTTATATTTTTTAATTCTTTATCTTTCTTTTTTAACTTTAAATCCCTTTAAATTCTAGTTTTAGAATAATAATTATTTTTTTTTGTTTCTTTTTAATAAGGGTTTATTTATTTGTAATAATATATTAACTATATCAAAAATAAATATAAATCAATTTGAGGATTCTTCAATTATTAAAAATTTTAATTCGATAATGAGTAAGAATACAAGATTCTATTATATTTAATCAAGAAAATAAGACAATTTTTGGAATTAGGATAGTTTTTATAAAATAAATAATAGTAACTATATCGTTTTTTAATATTAATGTTTATAATTGCAGCAATTTTATGTGTTAAAGTTTTTGGATAGTTGGGCTATGATGGTTATACAGAATGGCAATCTGGAATTGATAGAACTATCAATAGACAAAACAAATTTGTTGAACCTGTATATCCATTGCAAATGTTCACAAGAGTGTAATTTCCAAGATAATTCAGCAGGTTAGAATAATTCTTAATTAAATAGACGCCCATAAGTTTTATTGATGCATGAAGAAATAGAATGGAATAAAAATAGAAATATCAATTATTAAACTTTTGTTTCAGATGTGACTGTAAAAGGCTTTTATATAAACTATTTAATTAATGGTCCAGCAATCATTCCAGTTTTAAGAGTAAGATGGGTGGCATTTGTAGATTCAGAAGCAGAAGTGCAATATGTTAATTATCAATTTGAAGATTTAATTAGATTGAGATAAGGTTTTGGAACTAGATTTTAAGATTTCATGGTTCAATATTATTTAAAATATCCAACACCAAGAGTTGTAGCATTTATTGTAGGAGCTGAAATTGAAGTTTATGATTCATTAACAACAACTATATAAATTTAGTTAGGTAAACCTACAGGTAGTGCTACTCCTGTAAGATTTTTGACAAGAGATAGATGTCATATTAATACTCTTAGAATAGCTTACTTTATTTCTTCAGATTATTCTACTTTAATGGGAACTTTGGGTAGTTCAGACAATCATTTTAATTAATTTTTGGATAATGAAAATAGGATGAAATTAAGAGTACAAAGATTTGAAAGAGAAGTTCCTTCTACTTTTATTTTTGAATCACATTAGAATGTATTAGCTTAAGGAATAACAGGATTTGATGTTCATAGTAGAGCTGGTAATTTCTACATAAAAGTTGGAGGTGAATATGTTGATAAGAAATCATCTACTTATCATTGTGCATATGGAACACGTAATGAAATATATTAAATTTTAGGTGGGGATACTGTGCTATAATATATGGAAGTCAGTTATATATTACATCCTCCAGCATTACCTCCTTATTAAATGTTTGTTGAAGAAAATGTCACAGAAAATTAAGAAGAATCTAAAATAGAAGAATAATAACTGCTAGATAAGTCATTAATACCTTGACATTTATATATATTATATATAAATTAAAATAATGTAATTAGAGCAACCACAGATTAAAAAGTAATATGAAAAGGCTCATGTTTCTTTACATCACAAATAAATTCCATATTTACCATCCACTATAACAGCTCTCTCAAATAATCATAATTAGCAATTATTATTAGTTGGTAAAGAAAATGGAGTGATTGATATTTATTGTTATCCAACATATACTTAAATTTCAATCTGTTGTTCAATTAATAGTTAAATTAGATCACTTTTTTGGATTGATGAAGAATGTATATATGTAAATAATATATCTAGATTTTATATGTGCATATTTAAGTGGTCAAATTTCATTATTTAATATTCACGATTATAAACCTTTAAATAATTTTTAATTACCAGATAATATTAATATCTATTAATCAATACCTACATATGATTCTTAATTTTTATGTGCTTGTAGTGATGGTTCAATTAGAAAATTTGATTATTAAAACAATAAAATATATCAAATATAACAATCACAATAATTAGATTGTCAATGTTTATCAATTGCTATTAATAAAGAATATGTTTATGCATCATTCTCTAATGGATCTATTAGATAATTAACATAAAAGACATTATTATAATAATAAACATGGTAACTCAATATAAGTAGTTCTAAAATTGCTAAAGCTAATGTAATTATTCCATGGAAATTATGCATTTGTAATAATAATCTATTTATTGGATCATCAAATGGTAGTGTAATAATTTATGAAACTTAATTTAATACAGAAATTCAATAAATACAAACACATATGTCAGATATTCTTACTTTATATTCAAATCTAAATAATGTTTATGTAAGTGGAGTAGATAGTAAAATTGTTTGTTTATCATATAATGGATCATAATATTAAATTACATAATAATTAAGAGGATAATCTCATGATGTTTATGCTTTTGAAATCATTAAGAATAATATCCTAATATCTGGAGGTTTGAATACTGATATATGTTATTATAAATTAGATGTTAATGGTTAACTCCTTTAATAAAATTAATTTACACATATTTTTACTATTCCTAGAAGTGAACAATTTATTTGTAATCATTAATATATTGCAATTAATAAATATGATTCTATAGATTTATTATCTTATGAAATTGAATCTGATCCTATTTATTGGTGTGAATTTAAACTCTAAAAACCAGCTCATTTTATTAAATTAACTAAAAAGTTATTATGTTATGGTTAAAGTGATTAAACTATAATTATGAATGAAGTAGATAAATAATTTAAAAAATATAAAGTATATCCTCATTTCAAATCTATGGAATTTGATCATACTTAAAATACATTTTATAGTATTGATAAAGATGATAAATTATTTAAACATAAATTTAATGGATAATCTTAATTTATAGCTTAATTAATTCATGGATAACCAAAATTAATGAAATTTGTTAATAAAAAAATATTAATTATTACTTATCCTCATTTGTAAAAATTCATTTCTGTAAATGTTATTAATAATACAGTTGAATAAATAGATTGTAGATCTAATCAAAATTATGTTACAAATATCTTAATAATTAATGGTAAATGTATGAAAATACTTGTTACTTATGCATCTCATATATTTGCAATTTACAATTATGATTTTAAAGAATAATTATGGCAAATGAATTCTTATTCTAAAGAACATATGATGCATTCTCCACTTAATGTTTCTCTCTTAAAAGATCCAATAAGAGGAGCTATAACTGATAATATGGATAGTAAAAGAATGTTATTATTTACTAAGTAATAAATACTTATTTAATATATTATAGTAATCATTTTATTAGACTTCATCAAAGAGGGATACCACCAAAAGAAGTAAAGGAATAAGAATTTAATAAAATGTTATAACCAGAAAAGAAAGATTCTGGTTAAAAATTGGATATAGTAGACAATTATGCTTTAATATATCATAATTATGTGATCTTGAATTGTTTGAATATTAGCAACTAAAATTACATCTTATTAGAATGGGATAAATAAGCCACATTCTCTTAAATTCAAGGTGCCTTTGATGGAAAAAAATATAAACATTGATGTATATATTATTATATGTATATTAATTATTTTAAAAAAGTAAGAGTTAAATGCATTAATCCAACACAATATATAGAAGCTTTAGAGAATAATATACTATTTAAGAGAGACAAGCAAAATTAAAGGAAAAATTAAGTCAGTATCCAGATATGATTCCTGTTATTTTTGAGAAGCATCCAAAATCTAAAATTTAACATTTGAACAAATAATTGTACTTACTATTTTAAAATATTGATATTTAGTTACTAAAGGTTTTAGGATGATTTAATTTCGTGATACTTTAAAAAACACTTTATAAATTTCACCTAAGTAATCTTTATACTTTCATATTGGAAATTAATTGTTACCAGAAGGTATAATTAATAAAAAGATATATTTAGATCTCAAATTGGCAGATATTTATGAGAAAAAGAAGGATTCAGAAGATGGTTTCTTATATATAACTTACTCTGATTTAGAAGTCTTTGGATTAAATTCTAATTGAAAATGACAATTATATATAATTTTTTTAAAATAATAATGTTTATAAAGTTATTAATAGTTCATTTATTACTTTTGCTTATTTTAATATCAGCTTCTTTAAAATTATTATTTAATATAATATTGTCTTTGAGAAATTATATTATTCAATTGACTTTAACTTGTCTATTCAAATAGAAAATTTAATGTTACAATTTTATATTGTTTACATTTCTTAAATAAATTAGATTTAAATCACCTAAAATATAATTGAAAGAATATTTTTATTATTAAATCTTGCTAAATAAGTTTTAATTTGATTCATGATCAGAAAAATAATTATATGGTTTAAAAACCTCAGAATGAGTAACTAGATAATAATACTTAACTTTATTATTATCTTATTTGCTGTCTTTGCAACAATAGCAACAGCATATATATAATAAGCAATATTTTTTACATACATTTAGGAATTTGAATAAACATTATCATTGAAATAGGAAAAAAACATTGTAAATAACATCTCTAAAAAACTACGTATTTACATTCAGTAGAAAAATTACTAAAGTAAAGATTAACCCAATAATTTATAGCAATTTTAAATTTATGGCATTCTCAATAAATGGTTTATTAATTTATTCAATTCTAATCAGATTACTAGATCAATGTTAATTAATTTTAAGATTGTATTGAAGAGGAGTAAATTAGAGATGATAATATTATTTATAATTCAGACATTTTTTGTTAAGGATTATACACAACATAATATGATGACCAAGCAAATTTATTAAACAAAACGATTTCATTACTTATTCCTTTCTCATAAGTATTTATAGGGAATGAATAAAATAAAATATCATATATTGATGTACCGTATAACTAAATATTCGCACAATTTCCAAGAATGTTCAAATATAAAAATTTCATTCCTAGTACTAGACCTTGGTATACTTCAATTATATTTAAGGTATAAAAACCATTTAGCTCAATATTAAATTTAACCCAGTTAAGAATATTTTTACTCTCCAATATATATTTCAGTTAGAAATTTCATGCCATATTTTGCTTTAACATATTCCTTGATTATTAATTAAACTTTATTTGGAATTACAGCCTAATTATAAGAAGTTTATGATAAGAACATTCAAAGTATACCTTTAAGTATTTTTTTGGTCAATCCCAATGGAGATGTATTATTGACTACTATGCCAACAATTTCATAAATAAATTTAATTTTTACTATAACTAATTAAACCTATACAGGATTTAATTAAACAGATTGGGAGTAAATAAAAGTGAATTCTAAAATGAAAATTTCATAAGAAACTGCTTTCTATCTTGAAAATAAAATTTATAATAGAACTGTATTTGTGAATGCATTCAACTTTGAAAAGGAAAATCTAACTTTAATTGTGTAATATGATAAAAATATTTTTAAGTTTCAAAAATGTGACTTATGAAATAGATATTAATTAAAAAATAGAAGATTAAGTTGATAAAATGAAGATGAAAATGATCTAAGATTTATAAATTTATTTAGGAATTTGTATATTATTAGTAATGTTAACTACTAGTTTAATTAAATGTATATCAGCACCTTTATTAAATTTGATTTAAGTGATTAATATTCATGTAAGGAAAATAGGAAACAATTTAAATTCAGAATTATTTAAAATGAGTTTTAAAAGTAATAAACATACAGATGTCTTTTCATCACTTACATATTCATTCTTAGGCTTAAAAGATTTATAGACAAAAAGATCAGAAAGAAAAAACTAAATTTGTCAATAAATTGAAGATATAAAATACAATTTTAAATATCAAGAATTAGATTATTCTGAAATTAAAGAATCAATCTTACTTCTCCCTAGTTAAGATGTAGAAGATTTTGGTTAAAATAATCTATTATTAAAACCTTTACTTTTAAGAAGCTTTTCATAGAAAAAAATGTGGGTTAGTACTGATGATCAAACCTAATATAGATTAATTCTCATAAAATAGATATTTTAGCAACTCTTTTAAAATAATAGCCTACTTAGGAATAGTTGATTATAATTTTTATTTTCAATCGATCTATCATATAAAAAATACTAAAATATATTATTATATTAATGCTTATCTTATGTGTTTCTAATATTAGAAAATTTGATTGAATTTAGGTATTCAATAAATAAATCAGCCAAAACTAGATTAATTATTAATATTTACTTCTTTAGAGGAATTCTCATAGTAATTTGATAGAATATCCATATAAGTTTAATCAGTATCAATTTAATTTAAAACAATTTTAATATCTAATTGCCTTTTCATTAAATTTTATTCAAAAATATTATAATATGTATCCTCAATAGAAACTAAATTTAGAGTTATGATATTAATTTATAAAAAAAATCAAATTTATATTTATTTAATCCATTTTTTATAAATATACTATTATAATAAAGTAATAATAGGATATTATTCTCAATTAATTTAAAGGTTAAACTCTTAGATAATTAATACATTCAAATAGTTACAAAGAAGGATCATTAAATGAAAATTAATCCAAAATTCTAGAGAAAAAGTGTTTAATTTAATAAAATAAGATTGTTTCTATAAATATTTTTGATTTTTTCACTTTTTTTAATTCTTTAATTTATTTGTCTCTCCTTCTAAGGTCTTTAGAAAATTACTAGATGTTTCAATTAGTTTTTTTAAAATGGTTTCACTTTCTTTAATCATACGATTATAATCTTAGATAGCTAATTCTTTATCTCTTAATTGCCCTCCTTAAATTTATTATTATTATTTTAGAGATGCTAATTCTTATTACATTTGAGCAACAACAACTCTTTCTTCTTAAACATCATTTTATAATTCTTCCTTCTCTTCTTTTAATTTCTATAGTTAAGATTTTAACTATGTAATTGCAGTGCCATCCATGAATTGTTATATAATTTAATTAATTGATCTGTTAAATATATGAGAAAATCATAAAGTTCATTATTGCTTAAATCTTCCTTTATGAGTCAAAGATAAACACTTCCTACTCTCATTCAGAAAATTGGAGTTAGATATGCTACTTAATATGAATTAACGACTCAGAATAATATTCCATCTCACCTCGATAATTTAGAACTAATTAGAATATAAGAAAAATATAAATGGAAATGTGAAGAACTAGACAGAACAAAGTAGTCTATAGAAAGAGAACATAAAACTTTAGAAGATAGAGCAAATGTAAGTTTGTTATTATATTTAAGTAATTAAAAAAAGGAGAGAAGGAGATTAGAAAATTAACTAATTTAATTGAAGAAAAGTTAATTTAATTACATTAACAAGAAGAATCATTAAGAGAAAGAGTTTAATCATTTGAATAAAAAGTAAAAGATTAAGAATAACAATTTATTTTACTTCAACAATAATTAGAAGAATAATCAAATTAATTGAATATTGAAAAAAATAAATTATAAATAAGAGAAAAAAATATAAAAGAAAAAGAATATATTACTGAATTAAAGTCTAAAGAAATTGAATAGTATATAGCTAGATTAAAGTATTATACTTAAAATACAAATTAGAAAGAAAGTAAATTTTATAATTAATAATTTAGATTATTATCATTTATAAATTGATAATCTCAATTCAAATTTATAAACTATTGTTTAACATGAATTATCAATTAAAAATATTGAATAATAATTATCTCAATAAGTCAAATCACTTGAGAAAGTAGAATAGAATTTGATTTAATAACTCGAAAATTGTAAATAATCTGAATAGATTATTGATTAATAAGAATTAAAAATTTAAGTTAGTGAAGATTTAATCAATCGTAAATTAGAATGGGATTAAAAATAAATCATCTCTGCTAAAAATTCTCAAACATCATTATTTAATTTTGAAAATTCGAGAATGGAAATTTCTCATTTCGTACATTCTGCTCTATCATAAAATTATTGATTATTATTAAATAATAATAATAATAAAAAAAAAAATATCACTATATAATTTCGAAAATATTCTCGCATAAATTATATACTCCCTCATTTTCATGTTATGATAATTCAGCTAAGAATTATTCTCCATTTTACTGNTTAAATTTATTATTATTATTTTAGAGATGCTAATTCTTATTACATTTGAGCAACAACAACTCTTTCTTCTTAAACATCATTTTATAATTCTTCCTTCTCTTCTTTTAATTTCTATAGTTAAGATTTTAACTATGTAATTGCAGTGCCATCCATGAATTGTTATATAATTTAATTAATTGATCTGTTAAATATATGAGAAAATCATAAAGTTCATTATTGCTTAAATCTTCCTTTATGAGTCAAAGATAAACACTTCCTACTCTCATTCAGAAAATTGGAGTTAGATATGCTACTTAATATGAATTAACGACTCAGAATAATATTCCATCTCACCTCGATAATTTAGAACTAATTAGAATATAAGAAAAATATAAATGGAAATGTGAAGAACTAGACAGAACAAAGTAGTCTATAGAAAGAGAACATAAAACTTTAGAAGATAGAGCAAATGTAAGTTTGTTATTATATTTAAGTAATTAAAAAAAGGAGAGAAGGAGATTAGAAAATTAACTAATTTAATTGAAGAAAAGTTAATTTAATTACATTAACAAGAAGAATCATTAAGAGAAAGAGTTTAATCATTTGAATAAAAAGTAAAAGATTAAGAATAACAATTTATTTTACTTCAACAATAATTAGAAGAATAATCAAATTAATTGAATATTGAAAAAAATAAATTATAAATAAGAGAAAAAAATATAAAAGAAAAAGAATATATTACTGAATTAAAGTCTAAAGAAATTGAATAGTATATAGCTAGATTAAAGTATTATACTTAAAATACAAATTAGAAAGAAAGTAAATTTTATAATTAATAATTTAGATTATTATCATTTATAAATTGATAATCTCAATTCAAATTTATAAACTATTGTTTAACATGAATTATCAATTAAAAATATTGAATAATAATTATCTCAATAAGTCAAATCACTTGAGAAAGTAGAATAGAATTTGATTTAATAACTCGAAAATTGTAAATAATCTGAATAGATTATTGATTAATAAGAATTAAAAATTTAAGTTAGTGAAGATTTAATCAATCGTAAATTAGAATGGGATTAAAAATAAATCATCTCTGCTAAAAATTCTCAAACATCATTATTTAATTTTGAAAATTCGAGAATGGAAATTTCTCATTTCGTACATTCTGCTCTATCATAAAATTATTGATTATTATTAAATAATAATAATAATAAAAAAAAAAATATCACTATATAATTTCGAAAATATTCTCGCATAAATTATATACTCCCTCATTTTCATGTTATGATAATTCAGCTAAGAATTATTCTCCATTTTACTGTATAAATACAGAAATTTATTCACTATTATTTTGAATGATTATTTCAATAATTCTTAAAATATCTATGATAATATCTGAATTATCCATATTTTAATCTAATAAATTAATCAATTGTTATATCGGTTAGAATAATTAAATTAATTATTTTAATTCATTTTTATTTAAACTACTAATAATCTAATAATAAAAAGAATAATAATATATATTACCATAGATTTCCTTATTATCTTTTTACAATTTTTCATCAAATTTAAATAGCTACACTATATTAGTATTAAGAATATTATATATTATTTTTGGGTTTTCAACAATCATATTTGTAAATATGCTCAATACTTTGTTAATTTATTTTTACTGAAATTTCTCTTATTTTCCATTCATCAAAGTTTAATTAACATTAAGTACCAGGAAATTTAAGATATTATTTTCAATTTTTTCATATCTATTTCTATCAAAATATGATATTATTCTTATTAACGATAATATTTCATTTAAAAATAGATCTGAATTTTATTTATTTTAACAGAGATTATTGATGAAATTTAGATCTAATAAATTTTTATCCTTCTAACATATTTTATAAATAAGTTATAAGATTCCTATAATGGATTCATTATTTAATAAATGAGGAAATAATTCCCAACATAATTTAATCATTTAAATTTAATGATAATTTGACATTAATGGTTGAGTTCTTGATATATTTATTACAATTTAGGCTAGATCATCCATTAATTAATTATTGGATTAATGTAATACTTTGAAAATTGTTTATGGTATTTCATAAATTAAAATAGCATCTCTACATTAATAACAGTCTGCTGCTAAATTTGAGAAAATAAACAGAACAGTTTATTTGAGTTCTTCATATTGAGTTTGATTGAAAAATTTTAACAAATCAGGTATATATTTTACTATAGGTTTACAGGTAAAATGATTTGGGAGTGTAAATGCTAATAATATTTGTAAACAAGCTCTCTTATATAAATATAATTAATATACATCTAATACTGGATATCCTTTATTGATTATATCAAAAATCATTTCGACATCCTAAGATGTTTCATAATTCTTTTCACAATCTTTATCATTAAAAGTATCTGCTAATTCTGATATTTTCAATATTTTTTNTTAAAAATTTAAGTTAGTGAAGATTTAATCAATCGTAAATTAGAATGGGATTAAAAATAAATCATCTCTGCTAAAAATTCTCAAACATCATTATTTAATTTTGAAAATTCGAGAATGGAAATTTCTCATTTCGTACATTCTGCTCTATCATAAAATTATTGATTATTATTAAATAATAATAATAATAAAAAAAAAAATATCACTATATAATTTCGAAAATATTCTCGCATAAATTATATACTCCCTCATTTTCATGTTATGATAATTCAGCTAAGAATTATTCTCCATTTTACTGTATAAATACAGAAATTTATTCACTATTATTTTGAATGATTATTTCAATAATTCTTAAAATATCTATGATAATATCTGAATTATCCATATTTTAATCTAATAAATTAATCAATTGTTATATCGGTTAGAATAATTAAATTAATTATTTTAATTCATTTTTATTTAAACTACTAATAATCTAATAATAAAAAGAATAATAATATATATTACCATAGATTTCCTTATTATCTTTTTACAATTTTTCATCAAATTTAAATAGCTACACTATATTAGTATTAAGAATATTATATATTATTTTTGGGTTTTCAACAATCATATTTGTAAATATGCTCAATACTTTGTTAATTTATTTTTACTGAAATTTCTCTTATTTTCCATTCATCAAAGTTTAATTAACATTAAGTACCAGGAAATTTAAGATATTATTTTCAATTTTTTCATATCTATTTCTATCAAAATATGATATTATTCTTATTAACGATAATATTTCATTTAAAAATAGATCTGAATTTTATTTATTTTAACAGAGATTATTGATGAAATTTAGATCTAATAAATTTTTATCCTTCTAACATATTTTATAAATAAGTTATAAGATTCCTATAATGGATTCATTATTTAATAAATGAGGAAATAATTCCCAACATAATTTAATCATTTAAATTTAATGATAATTTGACATTAATGGTTGAGTTCTTGATATATTTATTACAATTTAGGCTAGATCATCCATTAATTAATTATTGGATTAATGTAATACTTTGAAAATTGTTTATGGTATTTCATAAATTAAAATAGCATCTCTACATTAATAACAGTCTGCTGCTAAATTTGAGAAAATAAACAGAACAGTTTATTTGAGTTCTTCATATTGAGTTTGATTGAAAAATTTTAACAAATCAGGTATATATTTTACTATAGGTTTACAGGTAAAATGATTTGGGAGTGTAAATGCTAATAATATTTGTAAACAAGCTCTCTTATATAAATATAATTAATATACATCTAATACTGGATATCCTTTATTGATTATATCAAAAATCATTTCGACATCCTAAGATGTTTCATAATTCTTTTCACAATCTTTATCATTAAAAGTATCTGCTAATTCTGATATTTTCAATATTTTTTATATAGTTTCATCAAATTAAACAGCAATTGGAAATTATTTTGAGTAAAATGCATCACAATAAATATCTGATAACTTTGTAGTAGTATTAGAAAATGGTAAATATTGTGTTTTTGATATTCTCTTAGATTTAAACACTTCTTCTCTTTTTTATTTTCTGATATTGATTAAGAATTCTTCCCTCTTTTTCTATATCAGATTCATTATTAAATGTTTATGGCAAAGAATTAATTATGCACTTTAATAATTGTCATAAAAATACTAGATCAAATATATAATTCAAATCAATTTATTCAGTCTAATTTTAATTAATAGTTAAGATTTTTTGATATTCTTTAAGACTAAGTTAACAAAGTCAAGCTTTTTTTTTTCTTTTCAATTTTAAATTTATTCTAGTATATTATAATTAGAATATACTTTAATTTATTTAATATCAATTTTTGTATTTAATTCATTATTTTGTTAAAAGTATAAAAGGATTTAATCTAAATTACCTGAATATTATTAATAAAGATCTTTAAATATTTTAGTGTTCTTCTCATTCCATTAAATCTTTTTATTTTTTTTGTTTCTACCTGCAACTTGTTTTTCTATTTTAATATTCTTGACTAATGCTTATAAAGTATCTCCTTAACTATGTTATTAACTCTCAGATTAATGATATTTATGGATTTCCTCCTTTCGAGTTTCTTAATTAGAGCATTTTTTTTCAAATAACTTTTAAAAATCAAATCCTTCTTATTAGATATCTAGATCTGCACTATCTTGATTTATCATTTATAAAATATATTTTATATTAATTTTTATAAGAAGTATTTTATTACATTGTCATGTTATACATAATTCTATATTTCTAATCTCATAATAGAAGTCACAATTAATAATAATGTAAATAATCTAAATGCATTTCAAATATTATCACCAGCTGCAACTCTTAATGCCAATTATTCTCTAAGAACTCTCAGATGTTTATTGACTAAACCAATTAAGTCAGATACTAATTGCTTATTATTATCTCTAGCACTTCTTGCTTGTTGATAATCATAAGCAGCTTCTTCACATTCAACAAATCTCTATTGTCTAGTGTCTTAGTAATAATCTAATCTTTATTAGATAGTAGCTATTGAGTTTTAAGCTTGTTAAATAGAATCATTCAAACTAAATAAAATTATTAAATGAATAACCTTTATAAAGTTGCTTATGTATTAGCTAAAATAGATTAAGCAGATTATAAATCTCTATTTAATAAATGCTTGTGTTTTTCATAAGCTTATACTCTTTTGTCTTCAGCAAATCTTTCTAAATTAGTACTGTCATCAATCTTAGTTAATAAATCACTACATAATTGAATTATTCTAGAGTGTTTTTATAATAAATTAAATATACTTTTCAACAGATCCTTCATCAGCAGTTGATTCAGATTTATTCATGATTGTTAATAACACTTTGAAAATACTGGCATAAGCTTTTGTGAATCTGTGAGTTTATCTTATCTTATTAATTGATCCACTCAAACTTGAAGTTACTTAAGCTAAAATATTTGGAGCTATTCTAATAGCATTTTTGCCATTCTTTTTAATTTCTGCAAGTGATGGTCTTTAGAGTCCATCCTTAATAATGGCTTAAGCTTCCCTAATTATTTTAGAAGCTTCAAAATGTTCAGCAATTTTAGCTTCATACACTTCACTTTGTTCTTGTCTCTCTTCATCAAGTTCTTAAATCTCTTATGTGTATTCTAAAAAATTTAAAGATGAATATAACATTTAATTTCTGCTAATTTAGCTTTTTCAACACCTTATTAAATTGATCTGGCAGGAATAAGATTACCTTCTAGTTTTGCCTCAAGTTGTAGAATTGAATATTAGCTATTAGCAATGTCTTTATCAAGTTAACCAATGTCTGAGTCACATTAATCTTAATAGACTCTATTGTTTGCATCATCCTCCTTTTAATCATCTTAGTAACGTCCTTCTAGTTTCTCAAGTACATTGATTAAATGGTCTAAACTATCTGATGTTTCCATCTCCAGTTATAGAGTATGAATCAAATAACGACCAAATTCACTTTGTTCCAATTATGTCAATTTGGCAATAACTTCACCTTCATCTGAGAGTGATGTTGCATTCAATCCTAAAAGCAAGACACAAATAAAAAGTGATTTTATCATAATAAAACGGATTATAATTAGTATTCATTAAATTCACATTTTAATAGTTCTTAAGGGTCATCATATTCTGAAAAACGATACAGTTTCATTTGCTACATATTCAATTCTCTCACATCCTTAACATTCTTAAATTACATCAAATACTATAATAAAGATTTCAATTCCTAATATATTACATAATTCTTTTACCTCATCTGATTTATTATCTATATAAGGAATGATTGGTACACCATTTTAAATTTAATATAGATAAGAATGAGGAGCATTATCAATTAACAACATATCACTTAGTTTTCTTGTTGTAAAAATACGAAGATCTTTAATAAAATGTCCATCATCTGTAGGTATACAATGTTCTCTATAGAATCTATGACTTATCCATTTTTTTTATGGATCCAAATAATCAATAACTGCATTAGCATAATGTGATTAAGAAGCAGTAAATACAATCAATTCGAAATTTCTACTTAAAGTCTATAATAAATGGGAAGTATAAGGTCTAATATTTAATGAAGCCTAATTTTTATATTGTTTTTATACTTCCATCTTCTCTCCTTCATGACTTATATTGAGTAAAACATCCCCAGGTATAAAACTATTTGAATTACAATGAACTAAGGTTTCATCTAAATCAAACAAAAGAGTCTTTTTGTCAGTTGCTGGCAACATTATTGATTTTTTAACTGGAGGTACTTTAAGCTTCTTGGCAATAATGATTCCCTAAAATATTTAAATTAAATTTTACTTGCATGTTGTGAATGAGATGTTCTTTTGCTGAATTTGGACCTTTCATTTTAAAGGCTTTGATAAGTGAAGTAATATAATACAATTTTTAAGATGGGTTTTTATAATCTTATTATTGTTATTATTATTATTACTATTATTATGATTAGTATTATTATTATGATTAATATTATTATTATGATTAATATTACTATTACAATTATTATTATTATTATTATTATTATTATTATTACTATTATTACTCTGGAACAGTGTAATTTTTATTATTTCTTTGAGTTACAACTGAATCCAAATATGATGTTGGTATGCTGCTCTGTTACTTATAGATATTAAAATCACCTTCTTTTGGAGTTGGGGAAGTCAATGCAGACAAACCTCTTGAAGGCACAACAGAAGCTTTTCTAGTTAAATTCATTGAACTTTAAACTGATTGTTATTATTATTATTATGGTTATTGAAGATGATTATATCTTTCTTGACTGATCTACTTATTCTAAACAGGAGTCATTGACAATAGCTATGGACTTTAAGTTTTCTTACGTTATTCTAATTACTCAATCCTGCATTCCATATACGTTTTCGATGATTGGAATCTTGATGCATCATTATAGATTGCCATTTTCTCATTTGGTAGTTATTTCTCTGATTTGATGACTTCTCTTTTAAAAAAAAAGTCTTGAGTTGGTGTATCAGAATGAATTCTTGCAGAAGAATTCTCCTTATTATCTTTTCCCTTGACACCTAAGGGTGTTTTGCCTTTAAAATCAGCATTAGAAGGTTTTCTGGCTAAGTTTAAAAATGATTTTTGCTCTATAGAGTCTGTTAAGGATATCTCTCTGTAAGAACTGTCTTTTCGTAGCATATGAAGAAATAAAAACTCGTTAATAATTAATAATTAAATATTTGGTTTTATTTTTATATCAAAATTATTTATTTTTAATTATACTCTGTATTCATGAATTATGTATAAAGGTATTAATGATTGTTTATTCTAAATCATCATTTTTTGATTACCTTATAGAAGATTAAGAATAAAGCTTATCTGTTTTTTATGATTTCACATATTAATTGATATTAATTCTTAAGTTTTATATCCCAAAATTGTATGATTACTGATATGTAAAAATCTATTTGTAATACTCCAAATTATTTATCTGAACTAGTTCATTTATCATATAAATTAATAATATCATGAAAAAATTCAATTTAAAACTTTTCAATTCATAATAAAGTAATTTTCCATTATTAAACATTTAAACGTCGAAACCTTTAAAGAACCTAAATAAATATTAAATTTAGTAATGTACACACTTTGATTATAATCACTATAGTGATGTATTCAAATAATTTAACATAAATATAAATTCAAAATGTTTATTCAATGCTATTATTGCTACTATTATCATCAAGCCATTCTACTCTCTTGCCATTTTTCCAGATTCCTACTCTACTCAAACCTTATTTATTATAATAAGTTCCTTCCCCTTCTTAATAACCATTAATCCATGCACCTACATACTTTTTGCCTTTCCAAACAAATGTACCTTCCCCATGTTATTTTCCATTCTAAAAATTTCCTTCATAATATCTTCCATCTTCCCATTTCATTATTCCAAATCCTTCGATTTTACCATCTTTCCATTCTCCTGTATAATATTTTTTGTTTTTCCAAGTATAAGTTCCTTTGCTTTTTTACTATTTCAATTTCTTACCTTAACCATTCATCATTCCATTTTAAAACTCGCCTTCATAATACTCTCCAGAATTTATAGTCAACTTCCCTGTTCCTTATTTAACTCCTCTAACAAATTCACCCTCATAACATTCATCTAACAAATTTAGTTTATCAATGAACTTTTTGAATTGATCTCTTTTCCGATACCATGTTATTTGTCCTCTAGCCATTATCCTTCATAGTATAATCCATCATGACTATAGTACTTTCCAAAACCGCTGGCTTTGTCCTCTAACCATTCTCCATCATAGACACTTCCTTCAGCATTTACTAATAATCCTTTTCCATCTGCCATATCATTTACAAAATCCCCTTCATAATATGAACCTAAATTATCATATTTTATACCATCTGGCCATACTTGCTTACCCTTTCCACTTCGAATTCCATTAATCAAATCACCTTCATAAATTGCACCAGTCTCCATATGTAAATATCTCTCCTCTTAATAAATTTCTTTGTTAGTTATTGCATCTTCTTATAATGCTTATTTTATAGTTTCTGTAATTATTGCAGATTCATTTACTATGTTTTTAGCCTGTTATTAACATACTCCTGAACAAATACCCATTTTTATATAATTTTTTATTATTAAAATGGCCAATCTAATGGAAGTTTAACTTATTCAAAATTATGAGGAATTAAAACTTATTATTCCTACAATTAGAGAGGTCCTAAATTCTAAAAGAGAAGTAAATATTTCGTGGAAGAAGACCTAAGAAGATATTTATAAAGAAACTTTCCTTTAGAATAGCCCAATTAAAGATATTAATTAATATACAATTTTAGAGAATTTAACAAATGTATTTCCTTCTGAAAATATTCTCAAGAATGAAATGTATCAATTATTTTTACAAAAGATTATTGACTATGATAGCTTATGATGTAGAATAAAAAGATTATTTAAAATTTAAATTGAATTTCAATAGATTAAACAACTCATAGCTCACAGAAAATTTGAAAACTCAATTAAATTAACTTATGATAAGGATTAAAAAAGAATTTAAAAATATAATCAATATTGAAGAAAGGTTTTCTTTGATTCAAATGTTTTATTAAGAGAATCTTTTATCAAAGGATGAACTTAAATATTTACATGTATTTATGATATAATCTATTTTTTAGTCATAAATTAAACCTTATATTAATGGAAATATAAATATATCAATTTGGTTTTTAGAATAAATTCTAAGTTATGAAAAGTAGAATTAAATACTTCTCTGTGAGATTTATGAATATTATATTTAACAATAAAACTAAGAATAGGCTCAAAAATATATTTAACTTATCCTTTAAAAACCTATTTCAGATTTAAATGAAGAAGAAATTCTATTTGAATACTAAGCAATTAAAACAAAAAATGAATAATAAAAGTATTAAATCATGTCAATAGAAGAATCATTTAAGAATAACTAAAAAAAATATGATACAAGCTAACTATAAACAATAATTGAATTAAAAAAAGAATTAGGATACCCTATTTAAGAAATATCATATAATTATTAAAAATTGTCATAAAATTTAATTTAAGAGAAAAACATTTAATAAGCAATTTCAACTATCAAATCTTGTTTGGATGAAATTAAATTAGAATTGTTAATAAATTATAATTCTTTTCTAATCATTTAAGAATCAAATTGTATTGAAATACTTGGAGATTGTTATCGATTGAATAAGGAATATGAATTGGCTCTTGATATTTATTAAGATTTACTTACATTAAATAAATAGATTAAACATAAAAATGATACAAGATAAATAATTTAAGTTAAATTGAAAATGGCTGCAATATATTTTCAACTACAAGAGTATCAAAGGGCTTTGGAAATCTATAAAAGTACACTAATCCTACAGGAAAATGATAAATATGATAATAGCTAATTCGTATTAATTGGATAGACTCAATATAATATGGCTTAGATTTATTTTCAATTAGGAGAAAAATAAATTGCTAAGTAATATTGTGAAGACGCTATCTTAAACATGACTACTAAATTAGATGATTAAGATGATATGATATTGAGAGCAAAAAAGTTAAGAGAAAAAATCTTAGATATGTAATAAAGTAGAGTGATTTAATGAGAATATTAATTTAAAATGGATTTTCAAATATTTTTATTATTAATATTAAATTTAATTGAAAAAGTTGATGAAAAGGTTTTCGATGAATTATTTTCTAATATTAAAAAGAAATAATATTCTTAGTATTTATAGTTCTTGTATTATTATTTAATACATAATTGTTTCATTTTTTAAGATGACTGAAATAAAGGATAATTTCGTTTATTAATTTTCATAATATGAATAGATTTACATATAGATAGATAATGAATATTTTAATTTTATCATAATTTGGCTTTTAGTCTCTGCATATAATTATATACATTTTCAACCAATTTGTCTCCTGACCATATTCTATGTAAATTTAATAATTCTTATTCATTTGATGTTTTCAATTACTAAAATATATAAATCATTATAATATACATCATATATTGCTCTTTTGATTAATTTT